CCTCCATCAAAGCATGCCACTGTCGAGAAGATCAGCAATAGTTGCCCTCGATCGGGTCGAGAAACTCACAGTGTGTCGAAACAAACCTCAGCTGGGCGTTGGTGTAGGCAGCCAAGAACGTCAAGTCAGGACGCGTTGACGGGTTCGAAGCTAAAAACTTGATCGAAGAGTCGGCGGCGGCAATCCAGCGGTCCTTGTAAAGAGAGAAGCGCTTTTGGTCATACACCCACATCTTGATGAGATATTCGTAGAAGCTGTCGGTACCACCATTCCAACCTCCACTACGATCAGCGAATGTTCCATTGGAGATGAAGACATCCGTGCCTAGCAGACCAGGAAACACCTCTTCATTGGGCCTCAGCAGATAGTCCTCGCCGCGCTGAGACAGGTTGGCGTATTGTGTGTCGCCTGTGAGATCGCTGAGCCGAGTCCACTCTAGGACGAGTGTTCCGATGGTCGCAATGCCGTTGGTGCTAGAACCGTTCTTGCGAGGCTTCGGATCGTAGACAAGAATGTTGTCTGGAACTCCGGACGGGGTATCAAATGCCACCTTGAGGTTGTCCGCAAGTTTCTTCGCCTGGGTAAGCAGCGCATCCACACCTGCTGAGTTGGAAGCAACGTCCTTCAGAACGCCCTTCAGCATGTCGTGTCCTGGACTTTCAGTTAGCCGGGAACCACGCGAGCGGCGATTGTAGAGCTCGGATTTACCTGACAGCAGACCACCCAGATATCGGATGGTTGTTTCGAAAACCGATACTTCGGTGGATGTCACGTCAAAATTAATTGTCGGTACGAAATCCAGAATCTGCCCTACGATATCTTTGTTCTCCATGATGATGGCCGTACTCAAAGCATCAACAGCACTGGCGCCCCATCCGTTTCTACAGCAGACATATCAGCAACAGTCTTGCGCAGGACTGAGCGCGAGACTTACCGGTCGTTTTCAAACGTGTTGGAGACCGGCTTCAGTGTGTCATTCGGGAACGCAAACTTGCGATAGCCATCCCACGAACGTTGGAAAGCTTCTTTCACAGCGTTGGCTCTGTCTGGCTGGTTCGTATACTTGGGAGTCGCAGCAGGTTGCACTGAGCCTTGCGGGCTGGCCGACGCTTGGGCAAGAAGCCCGGCGAAGGCCAATATGCTTCCGGAGCGTGAAAGACGCATTGTATCCAAGGAGATGCCTCTGACGGCGAGTACAGATGATGCCTGGGGACAGTCGCAGTAGTAACACCGTACGCAAAGTCCAAAGGGACGTCCAAGCCAAGGTGAGGTAGGCAACGGACGAAAGTGAGGAGGTAGAATGCGCAGTGGTTGAGGACCGGGGGAAGAGGGAGTCAAGATATAAGATGCACGCGGAGAAAGGGAAGTAGCGCCAAAGGAATCATGAGCAGGAGCGCGGAAAGTTAAAATAATTTCGAATGAGTGGCCGGGGCAGGTTGGGATCATGCAACTGCAACCCGCAAGAAATCGGTTGATTGTGGTACACCCCAAGGAGACTGATTAAACTCTGTTTCTCGTCCAGAGTCCCCGGACATTGTGATTGTGCCTACCCTTGTCTCATGGTCTGGACGTTCCGCTGCGCCCCTGCTTCTCCTGCTTCTTCTTCCTGCACGTTGTGGTTTTTGATTGCCAAAGTTGCAATCCCTAGCTAATCAGTCGGGAATCGCTAGCCTGCATGGTGGTGCGTCTCTCCAGTTTCTCTGTGTCGTGCATCGGCCGTTCTTCTCGATGCTACCCACCCCTCAACAGGGCGAGGTTGCACGCAGAGCTCCAGATGAACACGATACATTCGCATCACTCACGCCAGGGTTGCACTTTGGTAGGGCTGCAAAGCGATTAGAGGGTAGTTCGCCATCACGCGAGCCAAGTCCGTCGGTTGGCGTACATGACTGGCAGCAACACGCGCAGAGCAGATCTTGCCGAGTTGGTCGCTCGCCCTGAAGTGAGAAAGTCATCAGGCACGGACTTGTTTTGCTGAATCAGGCACGTGCGGAGCAGTAGTTGAGAAAACCCCCTTGCCAGTGCAACCCAAAGCTAAATGCAGAGTCGCGTTGCATAGAGGACAAGATCGCAAAAGAAATGCAGGTGAAGGCAGGCCCAGCCTAATGCCTGAGCCTCCGAGCCTCCTGTCTCCTGGGGGCCTCACCATCTGCATCGTCCAGTCGCCATCGTCCCAGCGGGGTCCAGGACAACTCCCAAGGCCCTGGAGTTGCAATTGACTCTGGCCACCTTCTTGGCAACAACGGCGAAGAGACGGGGCTGCAGCCATCCACATGCGCCTATTGCCGTTGCACCCGGCGCAACATTGCCGTTGAACGCCAGAACCCTTGGCCGCTAACCTTCTAATGAACATACTGCCAGCTGATTGTTTCTTGGCTTTGACGCATGTTGTGCAACTCTTTTCATGTACGGTAAAGGAGGAGCGACGGCACTAGTTGCTCGCCAGACACCAATATTGCAAAAGCCTCCCAAATCACCAGTAAGCGGACGCGGCGTCGCGGCCAGGAACACAACAGTCCGTCAAATATCAACCACTTGACTTGGTCAGAAGGTGCCATTGGAAGAGACATAAGCGCATCTGTGACGATCATCATCTCCAACTTGGTTGAGTTCGGTGCCTGCGGAAGCGTCCTGGCTCCCCCGCATTGGGCGAACAGAATGGAACACCAGACTTCCCCCCACCTGCTCCGTGAAACGTTGTGGATGGCGTGGGATGGTCCCAAGTAGCATCAAAATGTCCCGTCCGTAAGTGCAGCGCGTCTCCTGACTGGCCCCTCCGTCTAATGAGCAAACGGCAAGTCGATTTTGTTGTCAGCCTGGCCCTGATTGGCTTGACGACGGTTTCTGGGTCATCTTGTCGTCGTAAACGTTATTTCTCGCCTCTTCCGCTCATCAGTTGGCTTGCATTGCAGAGACGCCGCCGCGAGTCAGGATTTTTTCGGGTTTGATGCACATGAAGATATCCTCTTGCAACGCTGAAAATGCGATGGGTGGGTTTCCCTCCAGGTTCGAACCATGCTTGTGTCAGTCGATTAAGCTTTGCCTTGAATATCGGCAACTTGTACGGGCCGTCCTTGAGGCTTTGGATTCGATGGTTCAGCCCTGCTTTCTCAGCTTGGCGAGCGCAGCCGCTACTCCGTCAGGAAGTGCATCGTTTTTGTTACTTAGACTGGTTGATTGTTTCGCCTGGGTCTGTGCTTCTGCATGCGTCTGCGCAGTCTGCTTGGACTCCTCAATAGCAGCTGCAATCATTGCCTCTTCATCATCTTCATCCGGGCCCGCAATGTTCCTTTGGCGCTGTGCAGGCCGTTTCTCTTGGGCGCTTGTCGATTTATCTGTCGCTGGTGAGCCGAGGGATGAGTCTCTTGTTGACTCCATCTCCCGCAGCGGGACTCTGGCGAGAGGAACGGCTTGGTCGAGTCTAGACACTTGAGCTGGCCTCCCGTTTTCGGTGCTTTCGACTCTTTCCAGCTGGCGTTTGGCGGCTTTCTGGGCTCGGAAAGGTTCCTCTACTGCCTTGATCCATTTGTTCACTTTGATAGCTCCCCATCCAGCAATGATGCCGACCTGTTCAGGATCGGCATTAATGGCATTTTTCAGGCTGCCAAAGTTGCTGACTAGTGCAACGGCATCGGACTTGTTTACACTTCGTGGGACGGTGACGAATTCGACTAGCTTTTCGGCATAACTTGAGGCTTGCTGGCCGCGAATCGCGTTGAAATTGGCGTGTTCGTAGGACTTGTAAAGTTCGAGATAGCGCGCAGCTTCTGCTGCTGACCAACATAGGATGATGGTGACGTTGTTCACGAGTGACGTTTTGGAGAGCTCGCGCAAAACTTCTTCGTGATTGGGTATGTCGACCATTGTCAGCAAGATACGCAGGTTATATTTTCCTTGGAGATTCCTTATCCTTGTGTAAATGTACTCGGGATGGAGGCGATGATATTTCAGGCTGGTTGTGGTCAGAAAGATGGCAGCAAGCACGACATGGAATGCGTATCGGACCAACCTCAAGAACAAAGCGCATGTTGTCAAACCCAAAGCGTAGTCAGCTGCAATGTCACTATATTCCCATGGCATAGACTTCAGGGAGGCGAGCACTGGGTTTCCTCTCTGGCGAGGGGATACCATAATGGCAGAGCCCGACCCTCGCTGGGGCAAGGCTTGCGGCGTTGGTTGAACAACCTTGCCATTGTTGTTATTGTTGGACGTATTGGTCGGCGGCGCCCTGTCTAGACGTTGGGGTGTCGGCTGTTGGATCTTCTGGGGAGTATGCTGCTGTACGCGAGAGCGAGTAGGAGCAGGTTGAGACGGAGGACCTAGGTGTGATCGTGAAGATCCCGAAGCTGAGGAAGCGAGGGCGGCTAGAAAGTCCTCGTCGGCGCCGAAATCGTCGTCCATGTCCCCCAAAGTTTCGTCTGGATGAGCTGCGATTGAAGTGGCGGATAGAAAACCGTCGGCGGGGCGGGGCGGCTATCTAAGTAGGTAGCTGGCAGAAAAAAGAGGTCAAGAATAATCACGTCACGGCTGATGGCAGAAGTAGACGGCGAGTGCACGCGCATTTGGCACGATCGGCACGCGTCTCGCCTAGGTGCCTACCTTAGGTGGCAGTGGGGGGAATGGGCCTAACACTACCTTAGTGTACCTAGGTACCTTAGGTAAGGTACCAAGGTAAGGTAGGCAGGTGATACGTCGTCGGCACCGTGGGAGGGAGCACTTTGTCCACTAACCCCTCAACTCGGTAGCTCCCAAAGGCACCTACCTACCTTGGTAGGTACCTCCCCTGCGTACCTACGGGTGTATATCGACAGCCGGGGCAGCCACTTCATTGCAATGAGCGCGGGGTCATCATCGATCGAAAAAATCGATGGCTTGAAGAATTCTAGCTTCATGGTATACATTCATTCGTTGGTATTCTATCTTCCTCACCTTGCCCAAGAAACTGACAAAACCAAGTGTATATTTTATCTCCGCGTTAATCACCCGTGCATTGGAATATGCTAGTCCGCGCCTGTCGTTTCATAGTGACTCTGGAAGGAATTCGCGTCGTTTGTGAGCTTGTCGTGTAAAGCGTACAGAGCCGCCAGCCATGTGTCGAACACAGGCTCCAAGTGTTGTGCGCCTTCTTTATCCTTGACCTGGTCTCTTAATCTTTCATACGCCTCAATCATGACCCATATCTGAAGAGATGAGATATCCTCTCCACTTCCCCGCGGCCGTTCTATCATGGCCGTCGAAAGCTCTCGCGCCAGAAGGTCCGTACAGATTTGCAGGCTGAGGTTGTGGTCTGGCGCAGGAAACTCCGAGCTGCGCTGGACGCGGGCCCGGCTTCTTGGTGGTGGAGTTGGTGGCAAGGATGGCGATGACGGTTCGGGAGAGAAAGACATGGGCTTGAAGTATATGGCCTCTTCGTCAAAGGCGACCAAGGTCCCGTCGTCTGACGTCGGAGAGTGTGCCGAGACATGCCGTCGGTGTGTACGGGCCGGAGACTGATATACGTCTGATCTCAAGTCCTCCGAGACCTCTCCAGCGCTGCATGTTGACCGCGCCAACGAAGAACTGGTGTACGAGGATTGTCGCGAGGGCGGCGGATCGGATCGCGTATCGGTGCAGATGGAGTTCGAATCTTGCGACTCAATAAGAGCCTGATATTGCTTGGCAATCAGGTCCACGCTAGACCTGTCGATTACGACCGGATCTTTGGCACCAGGGGTGCTCTCAAGCTGGCCGATGGTGTAGACGGGTGTTTTTGCGCGGCGTCTCATACTGGATCTTGTGCTAATGGAAGAAGTTGGCGACGCGAGCGAGCTGTCGAGCGAGGGCCTTGGTTTTGAATTGTTGATGGTGAGATGAGATAACTCTGGGATAAGTTCTGGAACTGTTGCTGAAACAGAAGTGTCGAATGAGACTTTGGGGTGATGGGGCGAACGTTTTTGTGTGCTGCTCGTGCGTAGGTATTCGTGCCATTTGGAGTCGCTGAGATCTGGAGATAACCGCAAGGAAGGTTGGCCGACGGTTCCGGCTTGTTGAGCGACTAGTCCGACGGCGGTGGTAAGTTTATTTGACGCAGATGAGTCGACAGGCGCGGGCCGACGTAGCGACGGGAACTTCTTTCGTAACCTGTTCCGTAGACGTGGTGGCTCTGACGATTTGATCGAATCCGAGATTGGCGAGACCAGTGACGGCTCTCGTGAGTGGTTCATTTTGTGTGATGTGTAGCAGCTGGAATGCGAATGACAGAACGGGATATGTCACTGCCCTGGACTGGATGGGTGTGGGATGTGGGCGACTGGACTGTTAATAGTTGAAGATCTTGGGAGCGCAGAAAAGTGTTGGCTGAATTCATAGATGGATGCAGAAATCAGTTCATAGCTGAAAAAGTCATGAGTCTGTACAAAAGGCAAATGACGTTCGTCGACGTATGTGAGTGGTGTGTGAGAAAGCATGTCCCATGCACATGTCGGTATGGAGGCGAAGGCAGGATGGATATAGGTGGTGGACAGCAGGAAAGCGAAGACGAACGAAGGGTCAGCAGTGCAGGTATCCGCGCGTACGGATGACAGGATATGCATGTACAATGATAGAGTTGTGTGGATATCCAGGCAAGAAAGCGCAAAACAAGATTTGACGAGAAGAGAGGCTAAGCTCAAATGCTCACATCAGTCAACCTGGGCAACCGAGTGTGGGCGACGCATCTTTGGCGGACAACGCATAACAAGTGGCTCGACTCGACCTGCTGCAGGGATATGATGACAAGCAGGCAGGCCGCAGGCAGGGCGAAGAAGCTCGCACTGCCTTCGCGAGTACTGCGGTACTGCGGTACTGCTTATCGACAGGCCATCGATATGGTGGTCTAGAAGCATGGATAAGCAGCCGAGACATGGTGGATGCATCCTTGTCCCCACGTCATTGTCGCCCACTTGCAGAAGTGACGCGGGGGAATACAGAGCAAAAAGTGCGTTCGAGGCTCACTTGTCGCCAAGGTTTGCAGGGAAGCATCGCGTCTGGTGGAGGGGGTGAAGACCCCGATCGCGGACAAGGGTATCATTGGATCTCCTTGGTAGACAGAGTTCGCACTCGCCCAAAGAAAAGACAGGACGACCTAGCTCGGAGTCAATGTAAGATGATGGATGGAGTTGGGACCAGACGAGAGACAAGATGCAAGGCGGCTGGCCGATCAGTGTTGCAGAGCAAACAGCATCATCACAGGCCTCTGACGGCTAGGTTGGGTGAAGGAAGGATAATGGACGGGGAACATTGAGAGTCTTGCGTGGGAATGTGTCGGAGCTGCACAGTGTCTCCCCGGAACCGGCATCAGGTCGATCTGCGGCCTCACTGGTGAAGGTCGGAACACACTCGATTGGCTGATGTCATCAAGACCCTCGCCTTCTCCGTCTTTTCTCTGTGAAGTTCCGGTGCCGTCTCAGGTTCCGTCTTCGCCGAGTCATTGCTCCGGACCGACACCGTCACCGAAGCCGCCAGCGCCATTGGCTCTACAATGTAGTTGTGCGCCAAGAAGTGCAAACAACCGGAGCTTCTTCCGGCACACGCTCTTGCCCTCCCGGCCCAGACTTCAACGAATCGCCAACTCTAAGACAAGGTTTCGAGATCTGCCGCTCGCCCGCCTATTTGCATGGCCTTCCATGTTCTACCTGCCCAGCAGGCTTTGGAGTCGCGTACGCAGTAGAAGATGGCTCGGTTGATATCTCAACCCGCCACTTGGCGATTAGGTTGGCTTCAACGTGATTTTGGCAGGTCGCGTAAAGCCACTGAAGATGCTCTGCTAGCCCATCAGAGAGGACGTCGGAGATTAATATGCGCACGGCAAACCACGTTGTCTCCGAGGCTCTCACGGCTATCGTGGTCCTTGATCGTGCAGATGGACTGATGCCAAGTCTACCTTACTTGGAAGTACAAAATCAAGCCAAACTACTGTGCAGTACATTCCTACCTACCTTACCTAACCTAGTCGATACTCTCCGAAATGCCGGAGAACAGAGTTGAGTCCGCTTGCCTAGGCGAGAAGACGAAATATTTTTTCCGCAAAATGGTCAACCATCGACACACATCTCCATGCAGAGGATGCCGAACAAGCGCGGGCTGGGGAGGAGACGGAAGAATTGTTCCATCAATCAGAGGCAGCCAAAGCTGGGGGAGCCAGGGCCGGTTCGTCACAGTGTTCTGGCGCTGCCCCCGCGCTGGCAGGCGGCCTTCTGGCCGGGGGTCACAGGTCCAGTCTACGGCCAGAAGCCCCACCAAACAGACCCCACGCACCGTTCTCATCTCCACGTCCACGACCCCTCCGCCGCGGCCTGCCCCTCCCCCTCTCTCCTCCCAGCCCATACGACCCAATTCCAGACTCGGGGTAAAGTGTCGTGGACCCTGCTGGTCACCGGTTGGCTAGGTGGGGGAAATTGCTTCGTAGACACTATATAACTCGAGATTTCTCTCTCCCATGGCCTCGGGGTTTGATCGATTGCTCTGTTGTCCCTCACCAGCTCCCCTCCTTCATCCTCTCCCATCTCTGTTTCCCCCCTAAGCCGCCATCATGACCGAAATTACCATCACAGGCTGGACCACGCGCGATGTGCGCTTTCCCACATCTCTCGACAAGACCGGCTCTGATGCCATGAACGCCGCTGGTGACTACTCGGCCGCCTACTGCATTCTCGAGACCGACTCCAAATTCTCTGGCCACGGAATGGTGCGTCAGAATCATCCCCCCGAATTTCACACTTGGAGTTGAGGGACGCAACCGCTGACAAGAACTTCTCTGCAGACCTTTACTATCGGCCGAGGCAACGACATTGTGTGCAAAGCCATTGACTATTTGGTTGAGCGTATCAAGGGCAAGAAGCTGTCCGAGCTGGTATCCAACTGGGGCCAGACCTGGAGATACCTTGTGAACGACAGCCAGCTGAGATGGATTGGTCCTGAGAAAGGCGTAATTCACCTCGCCCTTGGCTCCGTAGTGAACGCCATCTGGGATCTCTGGGCCAAGGTGCTGGGCAAGCCGGTCTGGCGCATCGTCGCGGACATGACCCCGGAGGAGTTCGTCAGCTGCATTGACTTCCGATACATCACCGACGCCATCACACCCGAGGAGGCTATCCAGCTCCTCAAGGAACAGGAGCCGACGAAGGCTCAGCGCATCAAGGACGCCGAGAACAGCCGCGCCGTCCCGGCTTACACCACCAGTGCCGGATGGCTTGGTTACGGGGAGGACAAGATGAAGGGCCTGTTGCAGGAGACCCTCGGCAAGGGTTACCGCCACTTCAAGCTCAAGGTGGGCAGCAGTGTCGAGCAAGACAAGAGACGTCTGGGCATTGCTCGTGAGGTCATTGGTTACGATAGCGGCAACATCCTCATGGTCGACGCCAACCAGGTCTGGTCTGTGCCTGAGGCCATTGAGTACATGAAGCAGCTTAAAGAGTTCAAGCCGTGGTTCATCGAGGAGCCCACGTCCCCCGACGACATCCTCGGCCACAAGGCCATCCGTGAGGCCCTTAAGCCCTACGGCATCGGTGTTGCCACCGGCGAGATGTGTCAGAACCGCGTTATCTTCAAGCAGCTCCTCATGTCTGGCGCCATTGACATCTGCCAGATTGATGCCTGCCGCATGGGTGGCGTCAACGAGGTCCTCGCGGTCTTGTTGATGGCCAAGAAGTTCAACGTCCCCATCGTCCCTCACTCCGGCGGTGTCGGCCTCCCAGAGTATACCCAGCACCTGAGCACCATCGACTACGTTGTCGTCAGTGGCAAGCTCTCCGTTCTTGAGTATGTCGACCACCTCCACGAGCACTTTCTCCATCCTTCCGTCATCAAGGATGGATACTACCAGACCCCCTTGGAGCCTGGCTACAGTGTCGAAATGAAGGCAGACAGCATGGACAAATTCAGCTATCCTGGTCAATCTGGTGTCAGCTGGTGGACCAGTGACGAGGCCAAGCCTATCCTCGAGGGTGAGAAGATTTGATTCACCGAGGTCCTGGCACACACGGCGTCGAATTCAAGGGGTCAAGTTGGCGAATACTTGTCCGCAGGGCAACGATGGCATCCTGTATGGTCGCTATTTGCTGACCATCCTTCTTAACGAAATAATGGCATGAAAAGGGGGAGGGGTCTGGCCAGGAAGGCCAGTCCGCAGGGCAACGATGGCATCCTGCATAGCCCAAGGAAAGACTTTGGCTGTCCTTGTGCATCAGGTAAGGCAGATGCGTTACTGCGGCATTGAAAAGGGGGTTTGGCGAAGAGAGCCATTCCGCAGGGCAACGATGGCATCCTGCATGGCACAGATCATGCCTTGTGACCATCCCAAATAAGCGATTTCTATCCTTGTTTCCATTTTTTGGGGAGATATTACAAAAATGGGGGTGTGGCTAAAGGAGCCATTCCGCAAGGCAACGATGGCATCTTGTATAGCATGAGCGAAGAAGCTCACTATCCCGCAACGATAACGAAATAATGAGCAGGGCCTTTGTGTCCTTAAATGACCCTGGCCTTTTCCCTTTTTTTCTTCTTGTCCTTGATTGCGACGAATAGTGATCCGTATGCTTGCTGGACTGCACCGCCATACATCGTGCGGTCAAGCCACACATGGAGGAACGGTGTGGCGCACAAAAGAAACTGCTGTGAATGAAAGGATGGGCTGAGGAGACGTTTCAAAACGCACGAGGATAGCAACAGACAACCCCTTCTGCCCACAGCGCATGTCGCATGTCAAAACACGGCCTGGACTTTTTGTGAAGTCTTAGCTCGAGTCGGAGAAGCAGAGAGCTGTAACAGCAGGCTGTTGAATGCCAGATAATCCCTTTTCCCCCCTGTCTCTATAGGTTTGCTGTTGCTGCTCTTGCGCGCTGATTATCCACTGAATCCCCGCTGAAGGTTGCTCCTGTCCCTGACTGAGCTGAGCTCCAACGAAGCTTGACCCCGGACGCTCATCCTCCTCCACTTCCGATTTCATATCTGTACTTTCGGATTCGATCCGACTGCATCTTCACGTCAACCTCAACTCACCTTCTCGCTTCCTTGCTCGCTTTCAGACGGCATCACCAATCCTCGCACAAAATGCCACCGAAACCTAAAGTCTCCGTCGCCGACGACTCCGACGCTTTCACGCCAGAGCGGTTCGAGAAGGAGCTCAAGACATTAGCAGCGAAGGCCAAGGGTGAGACCAAGGGCAAATTCTTCAAGGAGCAGGCTTCCACATACATCAAGACCACCATCCTTCTCACATTGGCGGCTATCTACAGCAATGTCTCTCAGCTGGCGCTTTCTCCCGTCTACGGCTCGATTCCGTCATCGATATATCATGCGAAGCTCGTCATGGTGGCGTGTTTCTTTGGCTGGTCGGGTAACGTACTTCTGAATCGCACACTGCCATTCAAGACAGCAAAACTGCTACCTGTCATTGCTCTCATGGTTCCGACAATCCAGTTTCACCTGTACAAGACCAGCGCAACTCTCACGGCGCATTGGGGCCCTCTGGCCACTGAGGCTGTCACTCTGTTTCCTCTGATCTTGGTATCCGTTAGTTGTGTGGCGACTGAACTGGAGAAGGCAAACCTGTCGAAGCTGCCCAAGTTTCTGGCCGACGCAGGTCCCGGCCTTGGATCATGGGGACTCTTCAAGTTCATGGAGAAATTGTCGGGAGACTATTTGCAGGCGTATATCGGCAAATCGTTTTTTCAGACCCGCATTGGCCTGGAAGCGTTGCTTGCGGCCGCATACTCCGTCTACGCTCCCTCAAAGCTTCTCTTGTTTGCTATTCCGACTGTCCTACACACCGCTGTGCTCAACACCCATGCCCTAACTCCCATGGCAGCTGCGTCGCTCAACAGCACCTTACTGGCAGACGACTGGTTTCTCTTGGACCGTAAAGAATCCATTACCGGATATATTTCAGTACTCGAGAGTATCAAGGACGGCTATCGGGTGTTGAGATGTGATCACTCGCTCCTAGGCGGTGAATGGGTCAGACACAAAGGACGTATCCTTGCCGAGCCCATCTACGGCGTTTTCGTCATGCTCGAGGCTGTCCGCCTCGTCAAGACCACGAATCCCGTGCCTGATAACGAGGCTAAGGCTCTCAACATGTAAGTCGATATCCGCCAGAGCCAACCCCACTTGAAGTTGACCGAGAGATAGCGGCCTTGGTATCGGTACAACCCCCGGTGCTCTGATTGCCCATGGCATTGACACCACAATTGTTGAGATCGATCCGATTGTTCACGAGTTTGCTTCCAAGTACTTTGACCTGCCTTCCAACCACACTCCCGTCATTGCGGATGCTGTGAGCTACACTGCAAAGCTCGTCGACGACCCTAGTGCCAGATACGACTACATCGTCCACGACGTCTTCACTGGAGGCGCCGAGCCTGTCCCTTTGTTCACCCTCGAGTTCTTACAAGGCCTGAACTCCCTTTTGAAGCCTGACGGTGTTATTGCAATCGTAAGTTTTTCTGCTAGTGCATGATGGGCCGCGTTTCTAAACCCCCGCAGAACTATGCTGGAGACTTCCTGCATCCGGCGCCCAAGCTTGTCGTCGACACCATCAGGGAGGTTTTCCCGTCGTGCCGCATTTTCCGGGAATCGGAGCACCCTAGCAAGAAGAAAATTCAGGAGGAAGGCCAGGACTTCACCAACATGGTCATCTTCTGCAAGAAGACTAGCGGCAAGCTGTTCTTCAGAAAGCCCACCGAGGAAGACTTTCTCGCCAGCCGCAGTCGTCAAGTCTTCCTGCAACCCCGCCACGAGGTCCTGCCCAAGCATTTCCTGGATGGCGACTTCGGTTTGCTGAGAAACAATGCCACTGAACAACTGACCAAGTGGCATGAAAAGAGCGCCCTGGGGCACTGGGAGGTCATGCGTGTCGTGTTGCCCGCATTTATCTGGGAGAATTGGTGATCACGTCGGTTTGAGTACATTGGCGAGATTGCTATATTCACGGATACTGTAGATTGTATATACCGTGGAAGTTGTACATATGTTTGTGTCGGGGACATTGCAGGAGAAAGTACGGACGGGTTCACTCATGCGGAAATCACTGTTCTTTGAACATTTTAACTAGACTGATTGTTCGCTCCCCTTCTCGATAGCCCGGTGGCGCTTGTAGTTCGCGCATTCTCGTCTACCCTTCAGTGTCTCATGCTTCTCCGGGCCCGCCTCTCTTGACCGGAACACGGGCTGCCGCCGATTCAGCAAATTCTCGCGTCTCTGAATTGACACTTTTGATAAAGTCGGTGATGTACGACGGAGGGTCTACAATATTGTAGGGCCCAGACACAGGCTCACCCATTGTTCTATACACAGGCACGACGCCAGTCCAGACTTTGTTGACAACCTCTGCGTCATCTCTATCATGTTTCTCGTCTCCAGGTGGCCCGAACCTCACCTTGGCACTTCCGGTCTCGATGGTGACTTTGAGCACACTGGTAGATGACAGCTCGGCCTTGTTTGGGGGCACTCTTGTGTTGGACCAAGATCCGGGGATGACGCCGTTAGTAATGAGTTCCATGGCGTACAGACGTTCGGTTGGATCTTCCACCACTTTAGCATGGCCAAAGAGCACAGAGGAGCGATAGTTGTAGCTGTGAGAGTTGGGAGTCAAGGCCATGACGAGACCATCAAGGTGGCTGGCAGCAACGCAGACTGGCATGCCGTCTGATGCGCCACTACCGCGGGACGTATTCATCATTCGCGAGGAGACGTAACCATGAAGATAGAGGTCGAGGACGTCGCCTTCGTCGGCCGATGGTCGAGTGTAAGACCCCATTTGCCCAAGCATTGGTAGGATGCTGGGGAAGGGACTGCTGATATCATTGAAAGAGACATGCAATATGGGGCTGGTGTTTATGATCTTGTGGATCGTGGAAAGTGCGTATGAAGCTGGGAAGCAATGAGTTGATGTCTAAACCACCAAAGCAGATGGGGTCTCACCTCGCGGGCCGTAACGCTTGACAGTGCCAAAAGGCTTCTTCGGATACTCGAGTTCGGTGCGCGGCATGGCAAATATATTGTTAATTACAGATATGTGGCAAAGTCTAGGACCCTCATCGAAGGATGGGTTTCATTGCGTATTTATTGTATGTTCGGTTGCACACCTCATGTAGCGAAGACAGCAGCACCATATGATACCAGCGCTCCTTCGAGCGCCCGCGCGGTAAGGCTCTATATCAACTTACGCCCTTTACGCCATGTTGTTGACTCATTGGAGAACAACGCCGGTGAGCCTGCCCATCAACCGTGTTCGGGCCCGGCGCCGAAGAGCCAGGCATGCGGAGTAAGCCGATGGGGATGGATGGAAAGGTGTGCGACATAACGCCAAACCGAATCCAGTAGGTCCATCCACGAAACCCCTAATTACAGTGGCCAGCCGTTCATCCTTCTTGGGATGCTCAGATTACGACACGTGCGGTTGGTCAATTGAAGTGGAGGCGGAATGAAGCGGAGGCGGAATTGCCGCTTGAGAAGGGGACGCAAACTGCTGTCACTTTTGCTGCACTGCGAAACTGTACGGCTTTCTGCACATCCCCTGCGCCTCTAAGCGTAGGAAGCGTTAACGTTCATGGGCTGCATTGGACTCGAGGGCTTCGTTTAGCGAACCATGGATGTGACTCATTGTCTGGAGTTCGTGGTTCCGTGAGCTCGATTCTCGCAGCCGAGAGGTGGCGGAAACTTCAGAAATGAAGTCCGATCCGGTCAATACTTGGACCGCCCAGACGGGGACACTGGGAAGTAAGTGATGGAGAGAGAACTGAGTGAAAACCTTGACGCACTGCCGGTGACAAAGTCTAAATCGCCGCTGTCTACTGCGGTACAGGCGGGGTAATGACGACGCCGATCGAGTTCATCCCCAAACGACAGGGCAGCATTCAGACGGCTTAGATATCATTAGGAATCTGGGCGAAGAATCGTCTGACAGCTTCAAAGCCCCGGAAGCACTTCCAACATGACCATTTCGGCGGTCAAGCCTTACCGTAGTCTACTAGGTCGATGATGGATGGATACTATTACAGTATTATAGATACCTTGCTGGCAATGGATCGACAGTAGTTAATATGCCTTTGGAGGTTTAGGTGACGGTGAAGGAACACGGAGGATGGATGTCGGACGAAGCAGAGAAACCAATCATGTTCCCAGGTTCCGTTCGGATTCGGTAGCAGCCGAAACGTAGAGCCAACCCGGCGGCCAAAGCTTGTTCGGTGAGGTAAGGTATTCGTAAGGCAGGTAGGCTGATTAGTATTCGGGAGTCTCTGCTGCGTGGCTGCAATATGGATGTCTGTTCTTGTTCTCGTGCACAGGGCAGGGAGTGAGGTACTGCGGTAAACAGCAGCGGTGGCAGTAGCAGCGGCAGCAGCAGCAGCAGCACGTCAGTAACCGCCGCCGCCCCTCGTGCTGTGGCAGACCTCAGGTACCTAGCATGCAGCAAGGGAACCCTCGCCAGGGAGATCCGCTACCGAGATGCCAAGAACACCGAAACCCCTGACAAATCTCAGGGACAGCGCTCTTTTCGGAAATGCTTCTCTCCTCTCTCTCTCTCTCTCTCTCTCTCTCTCTCTCTCTCTCTCTCTGTGTGTGTGTGTGTGTGTGTGTGTGTGTGTGTGTGTGTGTGTGTGTGTGCGCAAGGCCTTCCCGTTGCGCCCATCTTCCAGACTCAACACTTCAGCCCTTTTCCCAAGCTGCTGCATATTTCCCCTGACTCTGCCAGCTTCTTCCTTGTGACCTTCTGCTTATTCTGTCGCACCTCGGACAGGCTGGCTATTTCTGCATGATGCAAACACATGTCACTCCCTCAGACCGAGGATCCCTCTGGCCAGGTTGACTTGGCTATTCGTGCTCACCCTCTCTGGCTGCGTCAAGACTGCAGTAGCCCCAAGCTCCTCTCTTGCAAGTTGCCACAGAGGGCAGGCAGCAAGTATCCTCAGCCTCCCCAAGACTGGAGGAGACTCTCACGACTCTTTACGCAAAGTCTGACCTTCTGCTGTTCCGACGGCCCCCAACCTAAAAGCGTCCAAAAAGAAAAAGAAAAGCAAAAACCAATGAATACAAAACCACCCAACAGACAAGACGCAGAGGAGGAAAATAGACGAAAAATCGGGCCCATCTACCGACACCGACCTCTGGCCGGTCCTCGACCCCTCCATTCCGAACATCGTGGGTTTCGATGCTGAAACAGAGTCGACGCACGCCACGCCGTCCTGGTGGATAAACAAGGTTGCGACCCCTGTCAGCCTTGCAGACAATCCAATCGCACCCCCTGACCACTACCGGCATGAACGACGTATCGAGAGATCTCACACAGCACCCTGCCCAAGGCCGGTTTGAGACCCTCTTGTCCTTTTTTTCAGGATCTTTACCACTTTGCCCAATTCGCCCCTCTCTTGTCTCTATCGCCTTGGTTGTCCCTGGCTCTGTTCTCGCTTCCTGCTCACCGCGTGCTCCTCCCCTCTGCTTCGTCGTGTCGGACTGGCTTAGACACCCCGGTAGGGTAACATCTGGCTGTCTTTTCTGAGAAAGGTGGCCTGCCACTGCGGTCTCTCGAATTGCCCGTTCCTTGCCCGTGATACGTCGTCTCTTCTAGGTTCTCCATTCAAGGTGTCGGTAGTACGGGACCAGCGCGGCAACCCATAGACAGACGCAGACACAGACACAGACGCCCTCGAGAGTCGAACGAGCCTCCCTCCCTCCCTCCTTCGCATAGCCTGCACACACACCCCAGCTGTCGTCTGTCGGCTACTGTAGTTTCCTTCCCTCTTCGTCTGTGTCCTCCGTTCAAACTCCACTTTCTTGCGTCCCCGACAACTCCAGAGAACGACCGCCAACTAAGAACATTGCGCGCTGGACTCCATCTCAGTTTCCTTCATACCATCTATCTGCCACCTCGTGGGGCGTAGCTGGTCATGTTCTCTTCTGCTCAATCATAGGATGCTACCGTAATTCGACAGCACTTCCATGATGATTCGCTTTCTTTCTTAGATCTTACTTCTCGCATTTTCCCATTGACTGGGTTTTCGATTCTATCCCGGCCGGCCCGCGGCGCCGACGACACACGAAATGTTCATTCCAGGAATTGTCCAGGCCCTCGTTGCCGCCCTCACCTTGTCAGTTGCCCGCCTCTCCGCAACCTTGAAGATGGATGTATATGATGGGGGATGGGACGTCATGAATGACCCTTGAGGGGATAGAAAGAGAGAGGAGATCATGGAATGGGAGGACTCGGGTTCAGGAACAGAGGCTAACCCGCAGTGAACAGTGGCATCGTTCTCAACGCCGCGTCCGCCGCCGTCTTTCTTTTCGCAAAGGGCCATGGCTCAAAGATCTTTCGGGACGGCCTGAGGCTGGTCCTCATCACATTCCTTGCTTCCGCAGCCCTGTGGGCTCAAATCGACTTCGCCGCCCTTACTATCGATCCGACTGCGATCTCCGGGTGCCAAGTCGCCGTAATATTTACTACCATTTTCGACCAGTTGGCCCGTTTCGCCATCGAACAATACCTGCTATGGGCAATCAATTCAAACGCCAAAGCGCCGACGGGCGCCATCATTCCCCAGGCCGTCATTGGAACCCGTTTTGTGCTGGGTGCTGTGTTCGTCGGCTTTCAGAAACCACAGATTGCCACCGTCTGCGTGTCCAAGACCGACGTTTTGCCAATCGGTGTTGTCATCATGGTCACGGACTTTCTCATCATCGGTATGCTCGCCTTCAGGGCGAGCTCTCTCGGTCTCATCGCGGAGGCCAAAAGCGGTCAGGCTGGTGCTCAGGGTAAAAAGGCCGTCCTGTGGATCATGGGTGGACATGGTGCGTGGACTGCAGTGAGTAAAGCTTCGGTTGAGATCATCAAACTCAGATGACTGATCTCATGGTAACAGGGAAGCATTCCTATGCTGTTAGGAGCAGAGTCTATCGAGCTGATCTTCAGAACCGCCCTGCCCGCGACTGCTCTTTCGATCCTAGTTGGTGAGTGAACTTATTGACGATCTCCAGTTCTCAGCTGACTTCCCCAGGAATCGTCACCGGGTTTTCTGATTCTCTTCTTCCTCCCCGGCCCCAGCAGATTACTCACCCTGACGCGCAGTCACCGCGTAACATGAGCTCCGGCAGAGATCTTGGCACATCCGATTCCGACTACCCGCCAACCCGGTACGAAGATCTCAAGGCCGGTACCATCACTACCGTTACCACCTTCGGACAACCTAGAGAAGCGCCGCGTCCCGAGATCCAGGCAGGTGCTGGTGGTTCTCTGCCCATCATTGCCGGCTCCGTACCTGGCCAAGCTGCTATCGGTGTCGGAGGGGTTCCTGTCCAGGGTCAACTCTTCCCTCCCATTCGTGCGCAGACCGCCCCCGTCCGAGAAGGCAGAAGGTTGGAAAACGCACCGAAACCGCAGTACAAGAGAAGCATCTTCGATCGAGGAGGGCCTGGCGCAAACATCAAGAACGCCATCTCCAACCCGATTCTTCAGGAGAGCGGCGAGCGCAACCCTCTCAACAAGATCGCAACCATCGACCTGGCGACTGCCGCACAGAATGACCGGGAGAAAAGGGACAACGACATGGCAACTATGCAAAGATCGCCGAGCTTGATTGCACAACGCCCCGCTCCTCAACCACCAGCGATCACGCCAGAGGAGGCCCTCAAGCGAGCCCAGAGCATGAAGCGTAAAGAGGTTGGCCCGACATCGCCCCCAGCGGCGCCTCAGCCCCTCAAGTCTGCTGGATTGATGTCAAATCCTCCAGCGACAACCTCATCCGCTCAGCTCTCTCCAGGAGTTGAGGAACTGAGGCG